GCCCGCCCCGGCCCCCCGCCCCCCGCCGCCGCCGCATACCACAAGCAAGTGTCCCTGTCGCATGTCTAGGAGGCCTGGAGGCCGAGGCCCAGGGACAGTGCGGGAACTGAAGGAGGGGGTTGTTTTGCTTGGTAACTTTGTGAAGGTCACTTCCGTTTACCTTCTTGGTGCTGATGCCCCCTCCCTGTGTGGCTTGGAGAGGGAAAAGGGCGGGTTTCAAGAGTAATTGTCCCCAGTCTTCTACCAGGGGGCACGGCTCACATGAAGTGTATTCTAGTTTGTATTTCTTACTGCCTTCTTTGGAAGAACCCTGTTTTTAATTTATATTTTAATTTTTAACATTGTTGCATTTTGGCAACAAAATTTACCTTTGCTTTGGGGGCTTCACAATCCTCAAGCGGGCATTGTAATGAGGTTACCCTCGGTTCAGGTTTGTTTGGACTGTGTGGTTTAAATTGGGAAAATATATTTCCTATACGTGTGTCTTTTTTTTTTTTTTAATGTGAACAGTGAAAGGCTGCTGTGACTGGGAAGGTGTGGAGTGTCTTTATTTTTTTTTTAAGCTAGTTTTTTTCCTTACACTGCTTAAAATGTCCAGGACACTTAGAGGCCAGAGGCCATCTGCTAGTTCTGTGTATTGCCCCCTCAAGACATCCTCTGGAATGGAGCATGATGTGGTTAGGACTATCCCCAGGTAACAAGGTTGGAGAACTAAAGATTTTGTGAGCCTCCTTAACCTCACTCAGCAAGCGCTGGGCTCTTTTCAGTCTGACCGACCACAGTCATTCTCATTCCTAAGAGCCAGGCGGTGTCTTGAATGTGTTAGAGGTGGCATTATAGAGCTGGACATACACATTTGCCATAATGAGAGAGAGCCTGAGGGGTGGCGATTGGTTGAATGTGAATTCTGAACCCGCAAGGTGACTGGTGAGGTGGTGAACTTTGTGCCCGAGAGGGAGTGGGTGGTTCTTAATGAGCTCCCATGATCCCTTATTAGTATTTTTTAAAAAAGAAACTTGTGTTACAATTTTCAGTAAAAGTAAAGCCTCTCCCTTCTTCTGGAAGTACTTAGGATCTTTGCTAAAGGGGGGCACTCTTTTAGATTAAAAGGACAAAAAACGGATATGCTTCCAGTAATTAAAGTTCCCATTGCGGCTTATCTGCTCCTCCCACCCCACCTCCTTTATCATGCTAAACAGTCTTTCTCGCTTTTCTTATTCCTCCTCCTGGAGAGCGGTGATTAGAAGCCACACCCACCCTCCTAAGAGGTGCTGCAACTGGGGAGGGAGACTAGTTACCTGAGAACAAACACTGGCCTGGAGGAAGGAAAACAAGTGTCCCTGAACTAGTTTAAAGCCAGATGGCCCCAAAGCAGCAACACTGTTCCCTGGTAGTCTCTGGAAAACAAACAAGACCCATAACTTAGGCTTTGTAATATGGGCCAGTTGTAATGCTACTGCGGGAGGGACCGTCCCCGCACCCCTGCTTTCTTTTCCTCTTCTGAGAAAGCCAATATAATGCCGGACACCTCCTCACACACAGTCTCTCTGCTATTAGAAAAGTCTGTTTGCTTTCCTAATCAGTTTAAACATTCATTCAAGAAGAGTGTGAGGCCAATACTGGGAAAGAAGTGACAGTGACCAAGACAGAGTTGGGGCTGAATTTAAGGAGCTAAAATGGCCAGACAATTAAAACCAGTTGGAGTCTAGGCATCTCGATTTTCATTTGCAGCAAATGGGGGCGGGGTGGGGATGGGAGCTAAGCCTGAATCAGCTTTACCTCCCAGGTACTGAGTGGAGAAATGCAGAGTTCCCACTGGGAATTTAAATGCTTAAGGCCTGAGTCTTAAGGTTGCTGGGAAGCTGTTCACATTTGTAAAATGCACTACCCTTACTCACTGATGCTTGAGTCAAAATTAAAGCTTCAGTAGCTTCTGCAAAACCTCGTACACCTAGCTATAAAGCTCTGTGAATGTCTTATTCTGTTTACTCAGAAACCTCTTCCGGGAAGCTCAATAGGCTCAACGCCGCTTCTGCTGTTTTTCAAATGAGGCCCTTTTCTTATCACCTTGACCTCTTGGCTTGCTTAGCATGTCTTCCCAGAATCTGCTGCCCAAGTCAACTGTGACTAGTTTGGGTTGTTCCCTCTTCAGGAAAAAAATTGTAGAGGAATCTAGAAAAGATGTACAGTGTATCTAAAAGTTGTAGGATGAAGTGGATGAAAGTGATTTAATTCATTCCTTAAAAAAATTATTTTTTTCGTCTTAGCAACATGCCAAACCAGGAACAAAAAAAGAACAATCCCCTTTGAAAAATAAAGTTGAAACAGATTCGATGCCAAGGGGATGGACTATGTAGGTTTGGAAGAAGCCTCAGAAGTCTCTTTTGTTTCTGTCCTCAAATTTCCTCTCTTTTCTTCTCTCCTATCCTAAGGAGACAAAGAGAGCCCACCTGCTTCCCCGAATGAAGCCTGACAGACTCTAGCCTGCCCTAGGGGAGGGGAGAGGGAAGCTGTGTGTGTGTGTGTGTGTGTGTGTGTGTGTGTGTGTGTGGTCACCCCCTCTTTCCACCACACATTTTCTTCTACTTGGCATTTCTGTTGTGATAACAATAAATGAAATGACATGAAGAGCTGTGGGGCAGTCCAGCAACTTCCCTGCCAGCTTTGGGCAACTGGGAGGAGTTGCGCGGGTTCCAGCTCCAGTGAGCATGTTGTAGCCGCCTCGCTCACCTCTTTGAGCTCTATGATGCCACACAGGTTAGAGGGTGAGGATTTAGATAGTCTAAAGAAAGAGATGGGACCTCAGTGACACCAGTGGCCAAATGTTAGGGAGGTTCCCTATTATTTAATTTTATATTTCCCTCCTCATATTTTGAAGTTGTCTAAATTGGATGAAAATCATTTTTCTTGGTGCCTTAATTGGTTTATTCTTGCAACCCTTTTGTCATAGTTTGATGTGACCGTTGCCAGTGACCAGGGCCTGTGTGTATGCCTTGTGTGTAATTGTGCGCATGTACAAGCTTAAATAATGTGCCGATGGCACTTGTTCTAAGTTGGTATTCATTAGGCTGTTCCCTCCTGGGCTAGGGCAGCACTAATCTTGACACCGGCTGCCAGGAGACAACGTCACGGATCATACACCGAACCTTAATAACAGCATCCGTGACCTGCACTGGCGAGTGTAGAATGGGAACCCCAGAGCTAGAAAGCACAGTTGTGTATTTTAATGAACTACTGGCCCTGCTAAGGAAGCCTCTTTCACTTTTGTGCTCTACAGAAAGACCCAGGGGGGTAGGAGGGACAAAGCTTTGAATAAGTGCTTTCTAACACCGAATGTGGCAAACAGGACTGAGCAAATCTAGGCAGGTGTGAGGTATGGTGGCCTGCTGCCTCTCTGTGTCCTTTCTTGTCTCCAAAGTCCAATCAAGTGATCCTGGGAAAGAAACAGCTTGGGTTGGGGAGGGCAGCTCAGAAAGAAACCCTATCAAGACATGAAAGAAGGGTGAAGGGTAGGCAGCATGTGACTAACCTGCTTCAAACTCTCAGAATCTTCTGTAGCTGGATGACAATTGCAGGATTTTTTTTTTTTTTTTATCCAGGATAATGTCTGTCTGTGGTACATCATTTTAAGACAATATTAATTCATGTTGTTATAAACTATGTATAGTATGTATGTTTTGTGGGCGTGTATATACGTAATATATATTATATATACATTATATATATATATATATGAGAGAGATTTAGTGACTTGATACGGGTTGGTGCAGGTAAATTTATTACTGAGCCAAATGAGGCGCATACCGAGTCAGTAGTTGGAGTCCAGGGCATTCAGTGCTGTGTGTGATCTGCATACATGTATAGTGCCTATCCCATGCAGTAAGAACCATGGCTGTCATGCCAAATCCAGCACTCACAAGTCAGAGCCAGCAATATTTGATTTGTAGACAATCAGCTTGAATTTATAGATTATGACTGGCAATGATTATAATTCTGAATCCATAACATTAGCAAAAGGAAACCCAGAGTATCTTGAAGAGAGGATTTTTTTGTCTTGTGCCTGGAAGTCAGTACAACAGCAATTGTATGTGGTTATGTTAGTCTCAAGATCCTTAACTTGTTGACCTTATGATTTTGGAAATTTTTTGTATTATATTTGTGGGAAGGTAAATAATGGTTTAAGATTTTTATCAAATATGGAGATTAGTTATTTATGAAAAACAAAGAAATGTCTATTTTTGTTTCTTTGTTCCCAGTTCATGTAGATAACTTTTTAAAATGCATTAAAACAATGGTGAAGAAAATACAATAATGCTGTAGTGTCTTTTTCCCCCTCTTTATGGAGAAATGCTTTGGTTTCTAAGAGTATCTGAGATGAAGATTCTCATAACTTGGTCACCAGATGTCTCAGATACCCTTAAAGTATACGCAACTGAATTTTCATCAGATAATCAGCCAAATTCCAGTCACAAGAGGAACACATTTTCCTCACCCGTGCTTCCTGGGTTTCTCCTGCCTCAGCTGCGGTTTGCTTCATTATGCATTTGAAGAAATGAAGGGAGCTCCGTGGAAGATCAGACGCATGCTCTCACTGTGTTCTGTTTGACAGATGGGTGTGCTTTGCACCTGTTTGATAAGCTGCACGTTCTGTGTGTCTGGTTGAGGGGCAGGTGTTGAGCTCAAATAACTTCATATTGGCAGCGGAGAGGGAGGACCGCAATTCATTGAGAATGACACCCAGTTCCCTTCCCCATTCCCAGATAATTTGACTGGGTGTCAGAATGCTTAATGGTAGACTTAACTTCTACCTCTGTGTTCCTGTCTTGGTAAAAGTCAAGTGAATCTATAAGGTAACATCTCATATTCTCCAGCGATACTCTCAGGCATTGTGGGGAAATGTGAGGGAAACATGGGTACTTAAGGCTTTAAATGTATGGGGCAGAAATATAATAATGGCTATTTATTATATTTAATAATGTTAATTTGTATGCAATGGACTTCAGTATATGGCAGGGACCGGGAGGCAGTCTGAGAAACACAGAATAGCATCCTACCGAAGAGCAACTACAATTCACATACATGGACAGGACTCTAGTATGTCTCCACCTTGTTTTCTCTTGGCTCACTTTCACCCAGTGGAGAAAGGGGGAGAGAAACTGGAACAAGAGCAGGGGGTTGGAGAAAAGGTGCCCCCCCCCCAAGTCATTGGCAATAGCACCATTCCTTTTTTTTTTTTCTTAATGACTCAATTTACAGAGTTCTTTAGTTTGTCAAGATGGAAGCCATGCTTTGAGGGAGAATGGTTGTGTGTGTATGGACAGAGGATACAAGCTGATTGTTGGTTCAAATCCCAGCCGTACTACTTATAGGCCCTGATCCAGGACACTTTTATTTCAGATTTCTCATTTGTGATGAGAGAATAATAGTACTTACATTTGGGGGTTCAGAAGATTTAAAAGATTTAATGCTAGGAGTCTGCAGCTGTCCCTGGTGTGGATTGGAGGAGGGGGCAGCTTTCACAGGGTGTTTCCTAAGATCAGTTGTGGCTCTGAGAAATGCACTCCAGTCTCAGCCCCAGGATTGGAGATTTAGTTAGGCCTGGGTCCTTAGGTGGGTTTCGGTTTTATAAAGATATTTAAACCTGGGAGTAATATATAAATCTAAAATTGCTCATTTAAAAAATTGCATGGATAATTAAGAGTCCTTGTTTGCTCCTTACCCATTTCCCCTAAAGCTGATAATCTTTGGTTGTGTTTTGTTTTGAGACAGGGTCTCTATGTAGTGATAGCTGTCCTGGAACTATTTAGACCATAGGCTTGCCTCAAACTTAGAGATCCATCTGCATCTGCCTCAACTGCTGGGGTCAAACATGTTAGTGTCTTAACCATGGTACATGTTACAACTAAAAAGTCAATGCTGAGTTCCAGGACAGCCTCCAAAGCCACAGGGAATCCCTGTCTCGAACCCCCTCCCCCCCCAAAAAAAAAAGTCAATGCTGGCCCTTTTCTGTGAACTCTAGACTTTTTTTTTAATTATTTATTAAGTATACAACATTCTGCTTCCATGTATATCTACATACCAGAACAGGGCACAAGATCTCATAAGGGATGGTTGTGAGCCACCATGTGGTTGCTGGGAATTCAACTCAGGACCTCTGGAAGAGCAGTCAGTGCTCTTAACCTCTGAGCCATCTCTCTAGACTTAATCAGACTTCACACTAGTGTTCTGGGATCCAGCGTTCATACCATATTACATTTAGATATGGGCTTTGAGCTGATGAGAGGTAGCTGGTGACCCTATGGAGAAATAGAATATTTGAATGACTGCCTTAAATTAGTCATGGAATTGCTAAGCACTGTTGAGTTGGAAGCAGCTGCTCCGGGGCATGGATGGGCTGGCACAGGTGAGCTAAGGAGCCAGTTAGCCTGCAAACCATAGGAAGCCTGCATTTCCTCGAACCTGGCGCCAACAGAGGGCTTTTATGGTCACCAGCATGAAGCGTGCCATATTGGACATTTGCCAAAAAGATTACAGGTGACAAAGCTGGAATGGTGTACAGCAACAGGCTCTCAGGGGCTTGAGCCAGGTAGGAGTGGGTGTGTTGGGGGGGATGGGGTACAAGGAATCTCAGCCTTTGGAGGGATTAGTTCTACTAGAGAATAACCATTGGGACTTTAGGTGGTTTGTAGGGTAAGGGAATGGAACCGCAGGGTTTTTTAAACCCATCATACTCAACCTGGGTATTCTTTGAGGGCCTCAGAAATACAGTATTTGCTGTATCTTCCTGTGGCTCTTCGGTTATGGGACTACCACTGAATTTCTCTGGTCACACTGAAACTGCCTAGTTTTTTAGAGCAGTTATAAGACTAGGTTTTTTTGGTTGTTGTTTTGTTTGTTTGTTTTGTTTTTAACAACTTTGAAAGACTACTTGTATTAACTTTTCACTGGAGTCAGAATTCCTCTTCTACACAACTTCACATCTCTTTCTTCACCCTGAAGATGCCAAACCACAAGGTGGGATTGCTGAAGTTTTTTTTTTTTCTTTCACAGCAAGTAAATGTTCTCTTTCTGGCAAATCCACTTAAAACAGTTGAGTAGTGAAGAGCCCAAGAAACCAAGGTTGCTCTTTAGTAGGGGGAACTGCCCTATTTTATCTTTTGTGGCATTTGCTGGCACAGTATCAGGCCTCCAGGTAGGTTAAGTGTCTGGCAGACTGGAGGTAATCTTATGCTGGACTCGTGGACCCATACTAGGCACAGTTTGCATAGAAACTAGCACTTCATCTTGGGGTATTTCTCTGCTGAGTGTTTTCTTTCCAAATAGTACTATCTTAAGAATGCAGCTTCTGGGTGAAGGACCAGGCAGGCAAACCAGTCATTTTAAACATGGCTGGAGTGAAGACTGGGTTGTGAAAGGTTTTAGCTAGCCTGCATAGCTTAGCTTATGGAAGCAGTCTAACCTCATACCTGGTTGTTAACACTGACTGACGTCTTTGAACTCAACTGCATTGAGAGCTATAAGAAACTAAACCAAGCTGAGCTGTCATAAAACCAGAGTTCTGCGTTGTTGAATTTAAAAAGCAGGAAATGTGGAAGGGTGGGCTGGGTTGGAATCTGATACAAAGAAATCTAACCATAAACAGAGGGAATTACTAAGCAGCAGCACTTTTCAACCTGCAAGAATGGGAGTTTTACTGGGGTCAAACATGCATTTTAGATCTATCTTTTCTGTTTAATGCAATTATCATATACCAGTTAAAACTCTAATGTCAGTGTGGCACAGGACTTTAACCTCAGCACTCTGAAGGCAGAGGCAGGAGGATCTCTGAGTTCAAGACCAGCCTGGTGTACAGAGCAAGTGCCAAGCCAGTGAGGCCTGCATAGTGAGACCCTGTCTCAAACATTCACAGCCTCTGTTATTTGGTAGGCAGTCTTACAGTAGTGACAGAAGGAAAATTTCACTTTAAAACATCTGTTTCTCGACAGGCAGTGGTGGTGCACACCTTTAATCCTAGCACTTGAGAGGCAGAGGCAGGAGGGTCTCTGAGTTTGAGCTAGTTCCAGGACAGACTCTAAAGCTACAGAGAAACCCTATCTCAAAATGCCAAATACCAAAACAAAAATCTGTTTTTCAAAAGAAAAAAATTAGTATTGAAGATGTTTTGTTTTGCTTTTACCATTTCATTTGCATTCGTGAGCTATTAATCAAGTAAACTGCACCTTTCCTACAAAGTAAATACAAATTTAAAAAAGGTAAATTAGAGGTTAAAAACAAAAACCAAACAGACCACCACCACCCATCTTCTAAAACACAAAAGCAAAATGGAGGAGTCCAGACAGATGTTCCTTTTTATTGTCGTTTCAGAGTACAGAACCCTGAGAAGATGCTAATTAGCACCCTACTGGTGATTTGGTTTTCATGCCTAATTTGTCATGACCCTAACCACTTTCAGTGACATTTACATATTCAGTTGATCCAATTTCCCACTTACCAAAAGGACTCATGTTCTAGTGTCAAGGTCAAAGAGGGAAAAACAATTCTCAGTGATACTCATGGTGCTAAATTATTAAAAGTGGCAGTTTCATGTCCACAGTCTTTC